CTGTAGCTCAAGTGGTAGAGCGCTCGCCTTGAGCTGAAGAGCTGAGGGACAGCGCCCAGGCCCAGAGTTCAAGCCCCACGACCGACAAAAAAAAAAAAAGAAAAGAAAGAAAAAGAAAAGGAGCCCCGGCTGAAATGGGAAGAGCTCCAGCCTTGAGTGAAATAGCTTAGGATCTTCAGTTCAAGCTCCAGTATTGACATCTCTGAGTCTGTGTGTCTCTGATTGTCATATCTATTTTAGTTTCACCTCTATTTCTCTCCTGCTCACCCCCAGATGTCTGTCTTCCTCTCTCCTCTATTTGGCCCCCACCTCTGGGTTTCTCTAAGTTTCTATTCTTCCAGGTCAATATGTACCCCATCCAGCCCACTTCCCAGGTTTTTTGTTGCTGTTGTTTTTTGTTTTTGTTTTTTTTTGTTGGTCATGAAGTTTGAACTCTGGGCCTGGGCGCTGTCCTTCAGCTCTTCAGCTCAAGGGAAGTGCTCTACTGCTTGAGCCACAGCACCACTTCCAGTTTTCTAGTGGTTTATTAGAGTTTCACGGACTTTCCTGCCCGAGCTGGCTTTGAACCGTGATCCTCAGATCTCAGCCTCCTGAGTAGCTAGGATTACAGGCGTGAGCCACCAGCGCCCAGCTTCAGTGTTTTGTTTTTGTCAGTCTTGGAGCTTAAACTCTGGGCTTGGGCACTGACCTTGAGCCTCTCTGTGCTCAAGGGTAGTACTCTACAACTTGAGCCACAGTTCCACTTCTGGCTTTTTCTGTGTATGTATGTAGTACTGAGGAATCGAACCCAGGGTTTCATGCATGCTAGGCAAGCACTTTACCACTGAGCCACATTCCCAGCCATTCCCAGAGTGGTTATCCTCTGTTTGAGTCTCTCCCTCCTCTCAGCACCACTCACCTGACAACCCTCTTCTCATCCTCCACCACAGCAGAGCTCCTCCTGCACCTGCTGCCGCCACAAACACCAAGAAGCCAAGGACAATTCCAGCTACTGGGACTGAGGACTTGGCTGGTGACTCTGCAGCCAGACAGTGCTGTGAGGACGGGAGAGTGGGGGGGCATCCCGGTCCCTCCCAATCTCAGAAATCCTGCAGCACCAAGAGTCCCACGGATATTGGCCCAGAAAAGGTCAGTCAGGTGACGCCCTAGGTGTGGACAGAAATCTCCCCAGCTTGCTGTCAGAACCAGCCAGAGCGACAGAGCATGCGGTCACCCCAGCGTGGACGAGAGGGACAGTGGTCAGTTGCACAGTAGCAAGGCAGGAGACGCTCAGCCTGAAGATGCACAGCAGCAGCAGCATGGAAGGTGGTCAGACCCAGGAGGACTGGCTGCAGCGGTGCCCAGGCGGTCAGAGTCCATGAGACCAGGAGCAGCAGGATGGAAGGCAGTCAGATTCGGGAGCATTGGCGTTAGGAGGCATAAGACAGTCAGATGGGGGAGGAGGCGGAGGCTCAGGAAAGCTGGGCTGCAGCCTAGGGCCCAGGTACTCTCAAGGGTCCTCACCCAGCTCGACAAAGAAGGGCTTCGCCAGTCCCTTGTGCTGCACCAGGCAGCGGTAGTGGTGCTCATCGCCGCTCTTGACGATGAGCGAGGACCAGGCATGGAAGGAGCCGTCCCCATTGGGGCCGAAGCCGCTGGCGTTGCCTGTGCCAGCTGCCATCCCGTCCCGCAGGAATCGCAGCTGCAACTCGGGCGGGTAGAAGGAGAAGGCACTGCAGGTGATCACGGAGAAGCCGGGGCTGCTGGGCCGAGCCCTCAGGCGCATGGAGGGGGGCTCTGGGAGGGGGAACAGGCACAGATGAGCTCCAGCCATGATCCTCAGAGCCAGGCCGGGAGCACCCCACCCCCCAGGCCCACAGAGTAGTGACAGGAAGACATCGTGGCAGTGGGGGTCGGGCATCCTTTCCTCCACTCCTGAGTCCTGTGGAAATGCCCTGAGTGCCTATCACCCACCAAACTCTGTCTAGAGCAATGTAGATGAAAGCTTGAGATCCGCTGTCCCCAAGGGGAGATAATGAACTCATGTGCACAAACACAAGGCATACTCTACAGTTAAGAAAAGGATAGCAGCTGGGCACCGGTGGCTCACGCCTGTAATCCTAGCTACTCAGGAGGCTGAGATCTGAGAATCGTGGTTCAAAGCCAGCTCAGGTAGGAAATTCTGTGAGACTCTTATCTCCAATAAACCACCAGAAAAGAAGAAATGGTGCTGTGGCTCAAGTGGTAGAACGCTAGCCTTGAGCTGAAGAGCTGAAGGACAAAGCCCAGGCCCACAGTTCAAGCCCCACACCAACCAAAAAAAAAAAAAAAGAGGCTAACAAAACCTCCCTGGCTCTCCACCTCCATCAGACCAGGCTGGCTGTGCCGAACCTCCTTGGCAGGGGCTGATGGATAAAATAAGGTCTGAGCTTAAGGTCATCAGTCCCTACCGAGGAGAACTGGTTGTATGTGACCCATTTTATAGAGCAGCCAACTGAGGAGTGGAGGTTTCTGGTATAAAAGAAGGAAGAGTAGCTTGGAAGTAGAATCTGAAACAGATGTTGCTGCCCTCAAATGTAATATTTGGGGTGAGTGTGGTAGTAAAAGCCTGGAATCCCAGCTATTGGGGAGACAGAAGTAGGAGGATTGAGGTGAGACACTGGCCAGAGGCAAAGTCATGAGGCCCCTATCTGAAAAAGAAGCTAAAGAGGACTGGGGGCATGGCTCAAATGGTAGAGCACCTGCCCATCTGAAGTAAGCAATGACCTGAATTCAAACCCCAGTACTGCAAACGAAAAAAATGCATCTTGAGACCCCAGTTTTAGCTTGTATTTTTCCCCAGGAGAGGAAGTGGAACTTTGCACTTGGACTTAGCCCATACTCTCTCCCCTTCCTAGCCCAGACCCCTCATAACGACCTCATCTGTCCCCCAAATTCCCCATTTGAATTCCACGCCCCCAATTTTGGCTCTCCTACCCTAGCCGGGCCTGGCTTTCCTCCGGGCTGAGCTGGTCGAATTCCTTGGCCACTTCCCGTCCCAGGAAAGCCTCGTGGTCGTACTGGAAGTTCCCGTGGGCGTCGTCGTGGGGAGCCTCGCTCAGGGGGGTCTCCTGGTGTACTCTCCCCTGGCCATGAGGGCCAGCATCGGGCGATGGCTTCGCCTGGGCCCCGGGCCTCAGCAGCAACAGCAGCAGCACAAGGGATGAGCCCAGCATCATCCGTCCCTGGGGAGTTAAAGCCAGAGGTCAGGGGTCGCAGGGAAGAAGCTAGAAATAGAACCCCGCGGGGGGGG